TGCTCGTCATGGAAACATATATCAGAGCTCACAGTATAACTCGCTGTGAGGCTATTGCTGGCACCATCGGATAGGCCTATGCTGTGCTAAAAGACGTGTACTCTACTCCCTCAAATATATGTGAGGAGACAACAGGTCAAAAGTGTGTGTGGAAGGGGGGGAAGGAGGGGTCTAAGAGGGGCCTTTGCAGTGTTCCTGTAAATGATTAACACATACACTCACACTAAAACAAGTAGAAAGAGGGACAGAGAGAGGTACCACACCTTTTAGGAGTTGTAGAGGGACGTTTGGATGGCGTGCGAACACTTGCCCGACACGACAGTGTATCACCCATGATTGGTGAGGTCTCCTGCACACAAGGACGCATAAAACCAGCAGGATAATAGGGGTTTCACATTTTTATAACACAAGCAATTTTGGGGCAGGTCCACTACTCTACTTGCCAATGCCAAGTTAGGTTACATACGGAATAGAGGTCTGCGGATGCCGACCCCCTGGTGCTGGGTACGGGTCTGCCCTCTTCGACGAGCCCGCAAGGTCGAGACAACCGTGCCACTGGGTTCGGTGATGGCATGGGTGGGGGTTGGGGGAGTGACTGGAGTGACGGCAGTAGCGGATTGTTGGCGCACAGTAAGGGGAGTGAGTGGTGGGACGGTCTGGGCTGAGGCGGAGTCAGCAGCCCGTTGTGCTGGATGGTAAGAAGCTGCAGGCAGCTGTGTTGGACGGTCAGCAGATGCAGGCTGCTGTGTAGGACGGTCAGAAACTGCAGGCTGCTGTGTAGGACGGTCAGAATCAGAGGCCTGCCACGTTTGACTGTCAAAATCAGCATATAGTGGGCAGTGATGGCCGAAACCAGCATCGTAATCATGTGGGTCAGAATCGTCGGGCACATCCACCTGTGCGGAATCATCTCGCTCCAAACCAATGTCACGCCAATCTGACATGATTCTGTCCACCCAAGACCAGTCCATAGCTTCCAATATGCGCTCCTTGCTTCCACGTCGCACCCTGGTCCGCTTACGGACCCTTGTCTTGATGGTACGAACGAGTCGAGAAACCGTATGGTTCCAGTGCAGAACTGATAGCCCAACTCTTGCCACCATACTCCCTTGGAAGCGAATACGCTTCGGTGCGTATTTGATGACAAGGGAATGAAACGATTCGTTGACCCAGTTCGATGCCCCGCTCCTGTGCAACAACACTAGCTGATGGTGTATGGCCGGCAGCCGCTTTAGTTGAAGAGCGAAGCATGACGTGGTTGAAGTGAGTACCCCAACGTTGTGCAAGTGACACTTCAACAAAATCTGCGTCATCTTCATCATCGGCTGCAAGCGCACCACGCTTCCGCTTCCCACTGCCCCGTTCTGTCCATCGTGGGGTGGCAGCCACACCCTCATGTGTTTGAGGGGCCACAGTTGGCACGGTGCTTTGAGAGTCTAGCAGCTCCTCAGCATCAGCGGTATCCCGATGGTTCGCCTCATCTGCAAGAAGCCACATAACAAAGAGACGTAAGTCCAAATGTTATCTTCAAAGCAAACTGTACTTGTCAAGGTTCAGATGAGTTGTTGAGCTTACCGTCCAAGGTCTGATCTTGGTCGGTCAAAATCCCATCGTCATCCACTTGAGACACCATTGTGTCAGCTGTCATGCGCACATAGTCAGCTTCGGCCGTTGTTGGAACACCATGGATAGGGTGTGGGTCAAATTCCCACAGTTGAGGTGCATCATTCCATCCAATGTCAACCACATGATGTGCAACACCCATCGTGCCATGCAAGTTCTCCACAGCACCATGTCTCAAACTCTCCACGCCTGCACGATCAGGTGCGGACCCCACATTATTGGTGATTTCAACTGGCACGTGCCCAGAGATCCGTAGGGGGTCACTTCCGGAGACATTTATCGAAACGACACCTGGCTGGTTCCGCTGGACGTTCTCATCATTGGACACCAGAATTGGTACTTCCACATTCCCGGCGTTGTTCCCCTCCCCACAACCCAACGGCGTATGCTCTGCGGCGCCTCCGTGGACGATCTTCAGGCGCTTGGCCACGGGTGCTCGTGTTGCTGCCCCGTTTTCCCTAACACGTAAAACTCTCCGCAACTCAGGGTACAACGAGATAGACGTCGGGACTGCTTGTGGATCATACACAAACTTGCCAAGCTTTTCACACACGGCTTCGATGAGATCTGCTTTCCCAGAAGTTGCGCTCAAACCTTCTTTTGGGGTACCGTGCTCTTTCAGCCATGTGAAGAGCACCACTCTTGAACACAGCCAAAGATCGCCAGTGCAAGTGGCAGCTGCGACCTTCATTGCTGGGCGCTTTGCATCAATCAAATCTTTAATGAACTTACGTGTCAATGCTCGGCCCTTATGCCACACGTCCTTCTGGTGAGCAATTCCTAATCCCTGTCTTGAATGATCCCCCGTCATCAGAAATGATCCCCTTGCCTTGGAAACCCATCGCCCGTAACTGGTTAAGACCGGCTTTGAAAGCACGCAGCTCCAAAGCTGTTGAAGAGACCTTCTCTACCGCCTTCCACTTTGTCACCACAAGGGCTATTTTGCGGGTGATTGGGTCAATGAACGAAACCGTGCACCATTCAGCTTCACGTGGATGAGACCAGCGTCCGTCAACGCACAACCACTCCCCTGGAACAGCTCTCTTGCACATTTCTGCTCGTACCTCAGCCATTGACTTCTCTGCTGCCGTCTCTATTGCCTTCCACAACCCAAGGGGCCCTCTCATGTACCTATAGAACGTCTCTCTTCCAAGACAAGGGAGACCAAGGGAGCGACTTACTTCCCATAATTGTTGGTAACCAATGCCCGCCATCGCAAACGAAGCTATATATTTGGGAAGGAAAAGGGAGGATTGAGGGCCCTTTTTACTCGCCTTACCTGTTGTGTGGCCTCGCTTTGTGGACCAAAAATGCTCGACTTTGCCGCACTTGTCACACGCCCATTCAAGGCAAAAGCATGCCCAGACTTGCTTCCAGGACTTGAGGACCATTTTTCCCTTACATCCAGAACCTGTGCTGCAGCATACGCTCAATGTGCTGAAAAAACGGATGAGCTGCCGAGGGTCCAGCAAGCATACCAATCCATTGGGCATTGGACGCATGGTTGAGGGAAGTGGGTTGTCCGGTGACACCTCCGGTGCTTTGTCCATTTGCTCTCCTCTCCTGCTGATAGATGCAAAGTATGGAAAGAACACCAAGGTGCCAACCCTGAATCACATTCCCTCCCAATACAAACGAATGCAACACATATACAGACACTTCATCTCTTTGGTGTAGTGGTGTGAAAGATATGGAACCCCCCCTACCTGGCATGCGTTTCTTCACTAGCCGGGCCTGGCGTACAACCGCATGCTGTTGCCCCATTGGTCTCGGTGTCTTCCGAGGGCCCACCATTAGCCTGACATTCGCCAACCACCACATCCCCACCAGCCTGTTGAAGCCCCCCACTCCCATCTCCAATCCCCTCCAAAACACCGCCCACATCCGTCAATGCTCTCGGGGTTGCATGGCTGTTCATGACAGGCTCTTGGGTGTTCTCCTCGAGCTGCGCTTCGCCATTGGCCTCTAAGGGGGCACCTGCAAATGACAAGGCATTTGTCAATCCGGATCAGCTGTTGTGACGACCTTCATTGCTGGGTTCGCCAATGCTGGTCGTCCACCTCTTTTACGCCTATATTGCAAGGACTTACCTGAACTTTTTAAAGCCTCGTAGTTCACACCCTTTCTTGCTCCTCCGTGATGGAATCCCTTATCCGGTACCACCCGCCCCTTCTCATCTTTCTTGTACGTTGGTATCTGGTACTCAAAGTCAGGTGCACGACGGGGACTCCTATTCAGTATCTCCTTCACAGACTCCCCATCCCCCTTGCTCTTTCTTTGAAATTGGCTCCACTGTGCTTCAAGGTGGAGTTGTGCTGTGATGCGGGCACCGTCTCCACCAGTTCCTGACGTTTGAGTACCACAACACAGGGAGAGGGTGGCTTGGTGGGGTTGAGGGCACGGTGGTTACAAGCAGCAACACAACACCCGCAGCAACACTGTAGCAGCAACACGAGCTCTGGTTTCATGCTGCAATTGCAAGCAACAACATCACCACCTGGTATCTATGCTCCCCTTGCAAGCAACAACATGAGCTCTGGTTTGCTCCCCTTGCAAGCAGCAACAAGACCTCTGGTTTTTTATCCAGAACCATACACCCCCTCCCCTCCCCTCCCCTCCCCCCCCCCCTCCCCCCGCTTTTGACCATCGCGGCGTGCGTCATGAGCTCTGGTGTTTTTCCTGCCCGTGATGCAGGGGGCCAGTGTTCTTCAATTACTGGCCACAAGAAAGTGACCCCGCACCCATTAAAACCAGAGCAGCGCGCTGCTCCCGATTGCCCTCCGGTTTCACCCACTGCTCCTTTCCTGCAGCATCTGGGCAGGGTGTTTTTCGCACTCACCTTTACAGCGGCATCCTTCTCGGTCTGGTTTATACACTTCCTAAGCCCCCTTGCACCAAGTGGGATGTGAGCGCGGCACCCACCTGCTTGTTCCGCAGCAGCAAACATTTTCGACACAGCTTCTCCAGCCTCCGATGCGAGCAAATAGAGCACGTCATTAGCGCTTGCGACATAATCTCCTCCTCTAAGAGCCGTCAACCCACAGCGAATCATCGCCATAGGAATCAGCATGTGCTTTTCAATGGTCACGTTACGTTGCTTTATTGTATCCATGATGGGCTTGAAGCACAGTGGTCTGGAGTCGCATGCATGATTTGTGGCATTTGATCCTTCCGTCTCCACATCCACCTGGATTGTCGGAATGCGTTTTGGGATGTGGATTTGGTACAGAGGAGAGACATTTGGGTTTGGTGAGAGGAGAGCAGAGGCACTCTAGGAAAAGACAGAGAGGGGAGACAAGTGGGGCGGATGAGAAGAGCAGGGAGGGGAGACAAGTGGGCCGGATGGGAGGAGCAGGGAGGGGAGACAGGTGGGCCGGATGGGAGGAGCAGGAAGGGGAGAGAATGTGAGGGCGGAGGGGAGGAAAGGGGAGGGGAGACAAATGGGGAGGATGAGAGGAGCAGGGAGGGGAGAGAAGTGGGGCGGAGGAGAGGAGCAGGGAGGGGAGACAAGTGGGGCGGATGCTAGCAAAGGGGAGGGGAGACAAGTGGGGCGGATGAGAGGAAGAGGGTGGAGAGGTGGGAGGGACGGAGGAGAGAAGAGGGGAGGGGAGACAAGTGGGGCGGATGAGAGGAGCAGGGAGGGGAGACAAGTGGGGTAGATGAGAGGAAGAGGGAGGAGAGGTGGGAGGGACGGAGGAGAGAAGAGGGGAGGTGAGACAAGTGGGGCGGATGAGAGGAGCAGGGAGGGGAGAGAAGTGGGGCGGATGAGAGGAGCAGGGAGGGGAGACAAGTGGGGCAGATTAGAGGAGGAGGGAGGAGAGGTGGGAGGGACGGAGGAGGGAAGAGGGGAGGTGAGAGAAGTGGGGCGGATGAGAGGAGCAGGGAGGGGAGAGAAGTGGGGCGGATGAGAGGAGCAGGGAGGGGAGACAAGTGGGGCAGATTAGAGGAGGAGGGAGGAGAGGTGGGAGGGACGGAGGAGGGAAGAGGGGAGGTGAGAGAAGTGGGGCGGATGAGAGGAGCAGGGAGGGGAGAGAAGTGGGGGGGATGAGAGGAGCAGGGAGGGGAGACAAGTGGGGCAGATTAGAGGAGGAGGGAGGAGAGGTGGGAGGGACGGAGGAGGGAAGAGGGGAGGTGAGAGAAGTGGGGCGGATGAGAGGAGCAGGGAGGTGAGAGAAGTGAGGCGGATGAGAGGAGCAGGGAGGGGAGACAAGTGGGGCAGATTAGAGGAGGAGGGAGGAGAGGTGGGAGGGACGGAGGAGGGAAGAGGGGAGGTGAGAGAAGTGGGGCGGATGAGAGGAGCAGGGAGGGGAGAGAAGTGGGGGGGATGAGAGGAGCAGGGAGGGGAGACAAGTGGGGCAGATTAGAGGAGGAGGGAGGAGAGGTGGGAGGGACGGATGAGGGAAGAGGGGAGGTGAGAGAAGTGGGGCGGATGAGAGGAGCAGGGAGGGGAGAGAAGTGGGGCGGATGAGAGGAGCAGGGAGGGGAGACAAGTGGGGCAGATTAGAGGAGGAGGGAGGAGAGGTGGGAGGGACGGAGGAGGGAAGAGGGGAGGTGAGAGAAGTGGGGCGGATGAGAGGAGCAGGGAGGGGAGAGAAGTGGGGCGGATGAGAGGAGCAGGGAGGGGAGACAAGTGGGGCAGATTAGAGGAGGAGGGAGGAGAGGTGGGAGGGACGGAGGAGGGAAGAGGGGAGGTGAGAGAAGTGGGGCGGATGAGAGGAGCAGGGAGGGGAGAGAAGTGGGGCGGATGAGAGGAGCAGGGAGGGGAGACAAGTGGGGCAGATTAGAGGAGGAGGGAGGAGAGGTGGGAGGGACGGAGGAGGGAAGAGGGGAGGTGAGAGAAGTGGGGCGGATGAGAGGAGCAGGGAGGGGAGAGAAGTGGGGGGGATGAGAGGAGCAGGGAGGGGAGACAAGTGGGGCAGATTAGAGGAGGAGGGAGGAGAGGTGGGAGGGACGGAGGAGGGAAGAGGGGAGGTGAGAGAAGTGGGGCGGATGAGAGGAGCAGGGAGGTGAGAGAAGTGGGGCGGATGAGAGGAGCAGGGAGGGGAGACAAGTGGGGCAGATTAGAGGAGGAGGGAGGAGAGGTGGGAGGGACGGAGGAGGGAAGAGGGGAGGTGAGAGAAGTGGGGCGGATGAGAGGAGCAGGGAGGGGAGACAAGTGGGGCGGATGAGAGGAGCAGGGAGGGGAGACAAGTGGGGTAGATGAGAGGAAGAGGGAGGAGAGGTGGGAGGGACGGAGGAGAGAAGAGGGGAGGTGAGACAAGTGGGGCGGATGAGAGGAGCAGGGAGGGGAGAGAAGTGGGGCGGATGAGAGGAGCAGGGAGGGGAGACAAGTGGGGCAGATTAGAGGAGGAGGGAGGAGAGGTGGGAGGGACGGAGGAGGGAAGAGGGGAGGTGAGAGAAGTGGGGCGGATGAGAGGAGCAGGGAGGGGAGAGAAGTGGGGCGGATGAGAGGAGCAGGGAGGGGAGACAAGTGGGGCAGATTAGAGGAGGAGGGAGGAGAGGTGGGAGGGACGGAGGAGGGAAGAGGGGAGGTGAGAGAAGTGGGGCGGATGAGAGGAGCAGGGAGGGGAGAGAAGTGGGGGGGATGAGAGGAGCAGGGAGGGGAGACAAGTGGGGCAGATTAGAGGAGGAGGGAGGAGAGGTGGGAGGGACGGAGGAGGGAAGAGGGGAGGTGAGAGAAGTGGGGCGGATGAGAGGAGCAGGGAGGTGAGAGAAGTGGGGCGGATGAGAGGAGCAGGGAGGGGAGACAAGTGGGGCAGATTAGAGGAGGAGGGAGGAGAGGTGGGAGGGACGGAGGAGGGAAGAGGGGAGGTGAGAGAAGTGGGGCGGATGAGAGGAGCAGGGAGGGGAGAGAAGTGGGGCGGATGAGAGGAGCAGGGAGGGGAGACAAGTGGGGCAGATTAGAGGAGGAGGGAGGAGAGGTGGGAGGGACGGAGGAGGGAAGAGGGGAGGTGAGAGAAGTGGGGCGGATGAGAGGAGCAGGGAGGGGAGAGAAGTGGGGCGGATGAGAGGAGCAGGGAGGGGAGACAAGTGGGGCAGATTAGAGGAGGAGGGAGGAGAGGTGGGAGGGACGGAGGAGGGAAGAGGGGAGGTGAGAGAAGTGGGGCGGATGAGAGGAGCAGGGAGGGGAGAGAAGTGGGGGGGATGAGAGGAGCAGGGAGGGGAGACAAGTGGGGCAGATTAGAGGAGGAGGGAGGAGAGGTGGGAGGGACGGAGGAGGGAAGAGGGGAGGTGAGAGAAGTGGGGCGGATGAGAGGAGCAGGGAGGTGAGAGAAGTGGGGCGGATGAGAGGAGCAGGGAGGGGAGACAAGTGGGGCAGATTAGAGGAGGAGGGAGGAGAGGTGGGAGGGACGGAGGAGGGAAGAGGGGAGGTGAGAGAAGTGGGGCGGATGAGAGGAGCAGGGAGGGGAGACAAGTGGGGCGGATGAGAGGAGCAGGGAGGGGAGACAAGTGGGGTAGATGAGAGGAAGAGGGAGGAGAGGTGGGAGGGACGGAGGAGAGAAGAGGGGAGGTGAGACAAGTGGGGCGGATGAGAGGAGCAGGGAGGGGAGAGAAGTGGGGCGGATGAGAGGAGCAGGGAGGGGAGACAAGTGGGGCAGATTAGAGGAGGAGGGAGGAGAGGTGGGAGGGACGGAGGAGGGAAGAGGGGAGGTGAGAGAAGTGGGGCGGATGAGAGGAGCAGGGAGGGGAGAGAAGTGGGGCGGATGAGAGGAGCAGGGAGGGGAGACAAGTGGGGCAGATTAGAGGAGGAGGGAGGAGAGGTGGGAGGGACGGAGGAGGGAAGAGGGGAGGTGAGAGAAGTGGGGCGGATGAGAGGAGCAGGGAGGGGAGAGAAGTGGGGGGGATGAGAGGAGCAGGGAGGGGAGACAAGTGGGGCAGATTAGAGGAGGAGGGAGGAGAGGTGGGAGGGACGGAGGAGGGAAGAGGGGAGGTGAGAGAAGTGGGGCGGATGAGAGGAGCAGGGAGGTGAGAGAAGTGGGGCGGATGAGAGGAGCAGGGAGGGGAGACAAGTGGGGCAGATTAGAGGAGGAGGGAGGAGAGGTGGGAGGGACGGAGGAGGGAAGAGGGGAGGTGAGAGAAGTGGGGCGGATGAGAGGAGCAGGGAGGGGAGAGAAGTGGGGGGGATGAGAGGAGCAGGGAGGGGAGACAAGTGGGGCAGATTAGAGGAGGAGGGAGGAGAGGTGGGAGGGACGGAGGAGGGAAGAGGGGAGGTGAGAGAAGTGGGGCGGATGAGAGGAGCAGGGAGGTGAGAGAAGTGGGGCGGATGAGAGGAGCAGGGAGGGGAGACAAGTGGGGCAGATTAGAGGAGGAGGGAGGAGAGGTGGGAGGGACGGAGGAGGGAAGAGGGGAGGTGAGAGAAGTGGGGCGGATGAGAGGAGCAGGGAGGGGAGAGAAGTGGGGGGGATGAGAGGAGCAGGGAGGGGAGACAAGTGGGGCAGATTAGAGGAGGAGGGAGGAGAGGTGGGAGGGACGGATGAGGGAAGAGGGGAGGTGAGAGAAGTGGGGCGGATGAGAGGAGCAGGGAGGGGAGAGAAGTGGGGCGGATGAGAGGAGCAGGGAGGGGAGACAAGTGGGGCAAATGGGAGGAGCACGGAGGGGAGAGAAGTGGGGCGGATGCTAGGAAACGAGAGGGGAGACGAGTGGGGCGGATGAGAGGAGCAGGGAGGGGAGAGAAGTGGGGTAGATGAGAGGCGCAGGAGGGGAGATAAGTGGGGCAGATTAGAGGAGGAGGGAGGAGAGACAAGAGGGACGGAGGAGAGAAGAGGGGAGGGGAGACATGTGGGGCTGATGAGAGGTGAGACAGAAGGGTTTGTCAAGAGGGGAGCAAAGGGGAGACAAGTGGGGCAGATGAGAGATGAGGAGAGGAGAGATGGGATGGAAGGGGAATTGCGGTTGCGGTTGGAATGTGAGCGCGGAGGGGGAGGAGAGGAATGTGAGCGAGGAGGGGGAGGAGAGAAATGTGAGCGCGGAGGGGGAGGGGAGGAATGTGAGCGAGGAGGGGGAGGAGAGGAATGTGAGCGAGGAGGGGGAGGAGAGAAATGTGAGCGCGGAGGGGGAGGGGAGGAATGTGAGCGAGGAGGGGGAGGAGAGGAATGTGAGCGAGGAGGGGGAGGAGAGGAATGTGAGCGCGGAGTGGGAGGGGAGGAATGTGAGCGCGGAGGGGAGGGAAGGGAATGTGAGCGCGGAGACGAGGAATGTGAGCGCGGAAGGGGAGGGGAGGAATGTGAGCGCGGAAGGGGAGGGGAGGAATGTGAGCGCGCAGGGGAGGAAATGTGAGCGCGGATGGGGAGGGGAGGAATGTGAGGGCGGAGGGGAGGAATGTGAGCGCGGAGGGGAGGAATGTGAAGTTGCGGGGGGGAGGAATGTGAGCGCGGTGAGGGAGGTGAGGAATGTGAGCGCGGTGAGGGAGGGGAGGAATGTGAGCGCGGTGAGGGAGGGGAGGAATGTGAGCGCGGAGGAGAGGAATGTGAGCGAGGAGGGGATGAATGTGAGTGCGGAGGGGAGGAAATGTGAGCGCGGAGTGGGAGGGGAGGAATGTGAGCGCGGAGGGGAGGGAAGGGAATGTGAGCGCGGAGACGAGGGATGTGAGCGCGGAAGGGGAGGGGAGGAATGTGAGCGCGCAGGGGAGGAAATGTGAGCGCGGATTGGGAGGGGAGGAATGTGAGGGCGGAGGAGAGGAATGTGAGCGCGGAGGGCAGAGACAGTGAGCGCGGAGGGGAGGAGTGTGAGCGAGGAATGTGCCTTACATTGCGCCTTCTATTACGGCGACGAGTCCTCATCGCAGGCGACCCGGCGAATGCGGAGGGATTCAACCTACGGTACTATCCTACGCTATCTTGCTTTTCCGACGCGATTTTATCTCTATGTAGGTTTCTCTGAAATGTGTGTGAGTGTTAGACATGCGAGTAGGATGTGCTGCTTGCCGTGAATGGGATTGGCGTGATTGCCGCTAGCGTGATAGTTCAGTCGAGAGGGTGTTCTCCTCGGCTCTAGCCACTCCTACATTCTGTCTCAAGTTGTTTTGCAGATGTTTTGCATTTGGTTGTGCTGGGCTGGCGATTCTTTCCGTGGTTGAGGTCGCTCGAAGTCGCAGAATTGGTTTTCTGGGCTGGTTTGGTGAAGTGACCAATCAAAATGCATCACAACCCAACCTGTCACTTCGGCGCAATTAACATAGTAACCAGCCGTCAAGTGTTTTGCAGTTGACCACAATTTCCGGTACTTGAGATCCTGGCTTTAAAGCTCCGGTATACATTTGTAAGGAGGGGTTCAAAATCCTTAGGAACTTGAAAAGTTGCCCCAAACCTGTGAAGCACACTATACAAACCCTAAACCCCGCTGACAAATGTATACTGGAGCTTTAAAGCTGTCGTCTACATACCTGGCGGGAGAGGCTCTGGTTTATCACTTGAAAACCAGGTAGCCTTCCGCTTCAGTGGCGAGGTGTGTTTCCGAGTTTGTGACAACACAACCCCCGCCTGTAATTTCCCTGCTCATGATTGGCTAATTAATTTCGCCAAACCCCTCCCCAACCCAACCTCACGAAATTATCGCGAAGTCACCGAGGGTTGTTTCCCAACCGAACCAAATCACGACACTCCCTCGCACCTACTGATACTGGAAGCGAGTCATTCGTAAGCAAATCAGCGTGCGTCGTTGGGTGTGCATCCTAAATAACCCCGGAAAATACCTCGAGGAATGTAGACCGCAGCTTTAATAGTTTTACTGCCTTGCTTGCTGCAATCACATTTTCCAATTCAACTAAAGTGTTTGAATTTGAATGTATGTATGGACAAACAGCCTTCGTAACAATACGAGGTACCACAACAAGGAACACTAGCATGTACAGCAACCGTAGCACGAGTAGTGTATGATGCGTTGACACTGGTATGCCTCATGGCTTCCTCATGGCTTGCTGCATCCCCGCACGATGACAATTGGGGTTTGCTGATCCGCATTGCCTGCCATCACACACACACACAGGCACAGTCAGTCAGGCATAGTTAGTGAGTGAGCCAACTCACAATCAACAGCACGAGTTGTGCTGCCCAACCAATCAACAACCAATCATTCGCCCATGCATGCATCCTCCAGCTACCCAGCTCTGCCCACCTGACAGGTGCGCACCAGTGTTGTAGTTTCAGCAAACACTCTCACTGCACCGCACTGAACCCCTCACAACCTGAGTGAGTGCAGGCAGAGCAGCTCACCTGCTGGGTTGGGCAGCAGAGCTGTTGTGAGCCTCCCATGGTCCACCCCTGCTGATGCCTGCATGGTATGGCGCATGGGGGCATGGGGCATGGGGCATGGGGGCATGAGAATGCGGCAAATGAATGTGCATGGGGCATGGGGCAAGAGATAATTGCCTGGTTTCTTCAATCCTCAATAATCCCTTCAATGCTCAATACCCATGCACCACTCAGGAGGCCTTTAAGGCGCCTCCAAAGTCGATGACCACTACCCATGCACCACTCAGGTCAGGAGGCCCTACTGTGAAGATCGGTGCTCCCTTGAACCCACTGACATGCACCACCACAGCCCAGCTGCATCCCTCTTGACCTTGCATAACTGTTAATCACCGCTCTCCACCGCTCACCACCCATGCAGTCGTGGCAGCACTCACAGCGAGGATCTTCACTTTCTTGAGGTCGTTGACATCCACCACCGCCACAGCACACCCCAGCTTCACCCCTCATCACCGCTCTTAACCGCTCACCACCCATGTAGGTGCTCACAGCGAGGATCTTGACTTTCTTGAGGTCGTTGACGTCTACCACCGCCACAGCACACCCCAGCATCGCACTCAACCCCTTCACCGTCTCGTGCACGCTCAGCTGAATGGTGGGGAAGGGTAGCGAGAGAGAAAAACAGCACGCACGGGGCCGAGGGTGATGAACTGGTGTAGGGGGGCAGGGTGAGTGTAATGCGGCTGTATGTGTATGGGGCTATGTGCGCCTTTTGAGGCGCCTTAAAAAGGGTGTGTGCATGGGGCTACGTGCGCCTTCTGATGCGCCTTAAAAAGGTACGTGTATGGGGCTACGTGCGCCTTTTGAGGCGCCTTAAAAAGGTACGTGTATGGGGCTATATGCGCCTTTTGAGGCGCCTTAAAAAGGTACGTGTATGGGGCCATATGCGGGAGGGGAGAAGGACTCACGGGGCCGAGAGTGATGAACTGGTCGTATGGAGGGAGGGTGCAGGTGATGTCATCAATGAGCCTGGCCTGGTACCCTGCCAGCTGGTAAAACACCCCCCTCTGCCCCAGCAGCAGCCGCGCCAGTATTGCCACTATCACCGCCACTACCACCCGCACCACCCCCACCAAGTCTATCAGAACCTGTTGGGAGGGGCAAGGGGGAACGGCATGGGTGCGGAAGGGATGCATGGGTGCGGAAGGGATGCATGGGTGCGGAAGGGATGCATGGGTGCGGAAGGGATGCATGGGTGCGGAAGGGATGCATGGGTGCGGAAGGGATGCATGGGTGCGGAAGGGAGGCATGGGTGCGGAAGGGAGGCATGGGTGCGGAAGGGATGCATGGGTGCGGAAGGGAGGCATGGGTGCGGAAGGGATGCATGGGTGCGGAAGGGATGCATGGGTGCGGAAGGGATGCATGGGTGCGGAAGGGATGCATGGGTGCGGAAGGGAGGCATGGGTGCGGAAGGGAGGCATGGGTGCGGAAGGGATGCATGGGTGCGGAAGGGAGGCATGGGTGCGGAAGGGATGCATGGGTGCGGAAGGGAGGCATGGGTGCGGAAGGGATGCATGGGTGCGGAAGGGATGCATGGGTGCGGAAGGGATGCATGGGTGCGGAAGGGATGCATGGGTGCGGAAGGGATGCATGGGTGCGGAAGGGATGCATGGGTGCGGAAGGGATGCATGGGTGCGGAAGGGATGCATGGGTGCGGAAGGGATGCATGGGTGCGGAAGGGATGCATGGGTGCGGAAGGGAGGCATGGGTGCGGAAGGGAGGCATGGCTGCTGCTCCAGGAGCTGGTGGGGCTACGAGGTAGGAGGTGCGGTGGAAGGAGCGGCAGGCAAACCCATTCTGTTCTGCACTCCGTGCTCCTGCTTGCACACTCCAGCTGCTCGGCTCTGCTACCACCACCCCCACGCGCTGGAGTCATTCTTGAGAATTCTCAAAGTAACTGCGACGCTTCTCCTCAAAGTGAAATCCCAACATAGCTGCTCCTGCTTGCACACTCCGCTCACCTGCATGCCACAGGCCGTGGCGAGCGAGGAGGCGGGCAGGAAGCAGAGGCACGCCAAGCGGGCAAGAAGGCCCGGGGGCACGGAGTCCGGGTGGCGGAAGCCGCCCTGCATGATGGCCAATGGCGTCTCGCCAAGTGTCACCACGTCGCCCGGTTGCAGATATGGCGCTGCGTAGCTGGAGTGGCCGGGATGAGATGGGATGGAGTGCGGTGCAGGATGGTGGTGAAGCTTGTGAGGAAGTGAAATGTGGTGGGTGGTGTACTCAACAAGCTGGCGTCACAGGCCGATGGGTCAAACTGAACTGACTAAACTTGGGTGGGAATGAGTAAGAATGAGAATGAAAATGAGATTGAGAATAAGAATAAGAAAAAGAATGAGAGTGGGCATGGCGGCACGAGAGAGCGAGGGGCGTGTCTCACTGTCGCAGCACGAGGAGCGGGTCGTCCAGGTGGCACAGCAGGTGGTCGTGGAGAATGGGAGGGAGTGCGCAACAATAGGAGTGCGAGTAAGCGTGGGGGTGCGAGCGAGGGGGCGAGGGGCGAGTCTCACTGTCGCAGCACAAGGAGCGGGTCGTCCAGGTGGCACAGCAGGTGTGTTGGGACCGCCAGCACTGATATGCCTGATGCGATACTGCCGGGGAGAGAGGGGTGGGGGGACGATTGAGATGGTGTGGAGCAGAGAGGGATGGTAGCATCAGCATCAGCATCAGCATCAGCATCAGCATCAGCATCAGCATATCAGCATATCAGCATCAGCATCAGCATATCAGCATATCAGCATATCAGCATATCAGCATCAGCATCAGCATCAGCATCAGCATCAGCATATCAGCATATCAGCATCAGCATCAGCATATCAGCATATCAGCATATCAGCATATCAGCATCAGCATCAGCATCAGCATCAGCATCAGCATATCAGCATATCAGCATATCAGCATATCAGCATATCAGCATATCAGCATACAGCATATCAGCATATCAGCATATCAGCATCAGCATCAGCATCAGCATCAGCATCAGCATATCAGCATATCAGCATATCAGCATATCAGCATATCAGCATCAGCATCAGCATCAGCATCAGCATATCAGCATATCAGCATATCAGCATATCAGCATATCAGCATATCAGCATATCAGCATCAGCATCAGCATCAGCATCAGCATATCAGCATCAGCATCAGCATCAGCATCAGCATCAGCATATCAGCATATCAGCATATCAGCATATCAGCATATCAGCATATCAGCATCAGCATCAGCATCAGCATATCAGCATCAGCATATCAGCATATCAGCATATCAGCATATCAGCAGGGAGGAGCAGGAGAGATGGGGCTGAGGGTGAGTTGGGGCGGGGCAAGCAGCGGCGAGGGGCATACCTGCGCCACTGAGGGGCATACCTGCGCCACTGAGGGGCATACCTGCGCCACTGAGGAGCATACCTGCGCCACTGAGGGGCATACCTGCGCCACTGAGGGGCATACCTGCGCCACTGAGGGGCATACCTGCGCCACTGAGGGGCATACCTGCGCCAATGAGGGGCATACCTGCGCCACTGAGGGGCATACCTGCGCCACTGAGGGGCGTGAGGAGCAGATGGGGGCGGGCAGGGGGGGAAGGCGAGGGCCAGGATGACGTGCTGCACCAATGGCAGGCTGCCATGTGGCCCGTACGCCGGGTAATGCACGTCCAGCCTGGCCGCCTGGTGGGTGGGAGAAGATTGAGGGAGGGACGGAGAGGGTGGGGTGGGGGAGATGGTGGGGGGGAGATGGTGGGTGGGAGATGGTGGGAGGGAAAAGGTGGGTGGGAGATAGATGGTGGGAGGGACGCAAGGAGAGGGGTGTGTGTGGTGCGAAGGGAGGGGGGCGGTGAGAGAGAGGGAAGGAGGGAGTGATGGAGGAGTGTGGTTGATGCGGTGCAGAGTGTGGTTGATGCGGTGCAGAGTGTGGTTGATGCGGTGCAGAGTGTGCGTTTGAGAGACACGAGAGACAAGCAGGAGAAGATTGAGGGAGGGCGGGGGAGGGTGGGGTGGGGGAGATGGGACAGGACAGGCATGGGCTGCTGCTGACACAAGCTCAGATGCAAGAGGGAGATTGACTCTGCTCACTTCACTGCCAACACTCTGCCTGCCCCTTGCCCTCACTCACTCTAGTGCTTGACACTTCTCACTCTGGCCCCTGCCCTGCTTCACCCTGCTGGTTAAACTTGTACCTTGAGGTGGGAGAGGGTTGCACCGTCCCCTGAAGCTGAATCTGAGTCTGCCGCCCGGATCTCAACAGTGACCTCCATGGCTGTGCCCTTGCCCGCCCGGACGATGTATGCCGGCCAGTACCCGTCCGCTCGGGGAACAGGCGCGCCTTCCGGATGGCGCGGAGCGATCTGGAAGCGGCGGGGAGGCGGGCGGGGAGGAGGTGGTAGAGTGAATAGAAGACGAATCAGAGTGAACGGAAGGGGCGGGAAGAGGTGTGTCGCGCATTGACATACACCAAGCCAGAGGCGTCAAAGTGAGTGACACAGCAGAGCAGCTAATGGTGAAGTTGGGAGAGGAGGTTGACGGACCGAAATGGGCAAGGGGAACAAGAATGAGTGTGAGGGAGAGCGAGAGGTAGTGCGAGGGAGTATGAAGGAGTGTGGTGTGGGGGAGGTAGTAGCACTGACGGAGACGTGGGAGGAGATGCCGTGGAGGGAGTGAGAGGAGAGCAGCACGGCCACGCGTGCTGTCACATGTGGGAGGAAGATGTCCTGCTTGCGCCTCATGTTGTGGAAGCTGGGTGAGAGGGGCGGGGGGGAAGAGAAAAGGGGGATGGCAAAAGGGGGAACCTTTGAGGCAACTCAAAAGACACACATGCGGGAGGAATATGTCCTGCTTGCGCCTCATGTTGTGGAAGCTGGGCCAGGGCGGAGGAGGGAGGGGAGGAAGGGGGGACGGCAAGGGGGGACGGCAAGGGGGGAGCTTTGGGTCGACTCTAAAGTCACGTGTGGAATGAATATGTCCTGCTTGTTGGTTGCACATTCTTGCGCAACCAACAATGCTCTCTCCTCGCCTCATCTGCACCCGCCATCAGCCCCCCCTCACCTCATGACCCCCATCGCCCTCCGCGCACCTCATTCGCCCCACGAGGCGGTAGAGCGACGGGCCTCTCTCCTCCCATTGCCAGCTGCCACGTGTCAACAGCAGCCCCCCTGGCACATTGCCGCCCTGCACACGCACATGCGCATACAGGCACATGCACATACAGACACACAGGGGAAATGGCGGCAATATTACAACACGCCCTCTTCATCTCGCTCCCTTCATTCCTACTGCATCCCATCCCATCCCCTCCTTCCTCTCCCTCCTCCCCTCCCCACCTGCACAGTCAGCAGCCGAGCCTTCTCCTCAGAAACCCACTTCTCATTGCGTGCCACGTCATACGTCCCCGCATCCTCCAAAACGCCCCCCCGCGCTGCGGTCCCGTCCGCCTCCGCGGGATCGCTCGCCCACGCCGCGCCCGCCGCAGACGCCGCCGCGAATCCCGGACGGAGCATTTTATTTCAATGCGATGTGATTGTTACTGGGACTGTGTACGGTGGGATTCCGCCGAGGTTGCGGCGGGATGGGCGGAGCGGAAGCGCTGTGAGTCCCCCGTGGCGAAGTCGGGCGCGCGGAGAAGCAAGGGGGAGCGGTAGCGCACGGGGGCACGGGGAGGCGAGGGGGAACGGATGGGCGAGAGAGTGTTTTGAGACATCTAAAAAACCCGACTTTGATCAGGGGAAACGGATGGGCATGGGCGAGTGTGATGTGGGGTCTCGTGGGATTGCGTGATTGGTAGAAAATCGACGCATGACAGACAGAGACAAGACGCGACTGGTAGAAAATGGATTGCGTGAGCGGCAGGAAATGCAGGCAACATAAACAAATGAAAACGGTTGTTCGGCAAAAACACTGTTCATATATACAACTGGCGAAGGCAAATATGACTCCATGGCCCAATGGATAAGGCGCTGGTCTACGGAACCAGAGATTCTGGGTTCGATCCCCAGTGGAGTCGATGCTTTTGCCCTCTGTCAGTCCTCCCCGCACAATCCTTCCTAACCTCTTTTTACCCACCTCTCGCATCCATTACACGACTCCCCGCGTGCCATCTGCAATGCTCGCTCTGCGCCCTCTGCGCGTCGCTTCTCTCTCTCCCAGCCTTCCCCTCTTGCGGCCGTCCCGCGCGCTCGCTCATGCCTCGCGGTACCCGGGGAGGGCGGAGCCCTGTCCTGTTGCGCGCAGTAGGCGGAGAGATGGAGCGCGCCACGCGGAAAGTCGCCCCATACCGCGCCTCGCTATGAGCGCGGCGCCAATTGCGGCAGCCCTTGGAGCCACAGACGAGAAAGAAAATGAGCCGTTGGATCCTGTTACAGACTCCGAGAAGGAGGCCCTTGAACCGCCAGATGCGCCACTTGCTGCTGACGCGGCGGAACGCGAGCCCCGACCGGGCCGGGGGCGCGCAAACCCGCGCTCGGCTCCGCGGAGAGAAAGCCCCCGCGCGCAACAGGCGGGTGAGGGTACTCCCTCTTCGCGGAGTAATGCGGAGCTGATGGCGGAGGGGGGAAAGGATGCGGGGAGCGGGGGAGGGGGAGGGGGAGGCGGGGGAAGGCGGAAGACGGGGGCGAGCGTGGGGGTGGACTATGGCGGGCGGCGGACAGGCGTGGCAGTGAGCTACAGTGGCTTCGCCCCTCGACCAATCACGGTGAGGCTCACAAGCCAGTCAGTCAACCGTACACCACCCTACTGAACCTCAACTACATCGCATCGCATGCCCGCCCACCACACCACGCTCTTCTGCCATCGCTCTCTCTGCTCCCTTCCCATCCTTGGCTCACAATACCCCCTTGCCCTGCTGCTGTCTCTCTCCTCCTGAACCTCGCTCTCTTCCCCGCTGAACCGGTGTGTGCGGGCCCTGCAGGTGCTGACGACACGGGGCCCTCAACTGGTGGCGGACCTGCTGAAGCTGGCGCGGGATGAGGTGAGGGGGTGAGCGAAGGAGGAGAAGAATTTGTGAGGAGAGTGAGAGGGGATGGGGAGGAAGAGAGACGAGGGGGTGATGGATGCACATGCGGGAGGGGCAACAACGGAGGGGGCGAGTTATTCTTGAGGTGCCTCAGAACTCATGTGCGCACGAACGGGAGGGGTCGAGTTGTTGAGTCGGCAGACAGGTCTCTTATCGCCCGCCTGGCCTCAAGCTTTTTCCCCATCTCCCCACTCTCCCCCCTCCCTCCCCACTCTCCCCAGTCTCCCCCCTCCCTCTCCACTCTCCCCAGTCTCCCCCCTCCCTCCCCACTCTCCCCCGTCTTCCCCATCCCCTCTCCCCACTCCCCCCCTTCTCCCCCCTCTCCCCCCTCTCCCCCCTCTCCCCCTTCTCCCCCCTCTCCCCTCTTCCCCCCATCTTCCCCCGCTCTCCCATCTCCCACCTCTCCCCTCCCTCCCCCCGCGCCCAGGGGGCGGACGAGCTGGTGGTGGGGCTCTCCCCAACCCTCTGCCTTCCCTCCGCCTCTCCCGTCCCTTCCCCCCCCCTCTACTTCCCCCCTTCCCCCCCCAGGGGGCGGACGAGCTGGTGGTGGGGCTGCCAGTGTCGTGGGATCGATCCGAGGGCCCACAGGCCGCCACGTGTCGCCAGTTTGCGCAATCGCTGGCCAAGCCAGCTGCCGTGCAGTGAGTGTGGAGTGTGGTTCGGGTAACCTTGTTGTGCGTCATTGAAGAATACACGCCGTATCCATTCCCTTCCTTCCATGCGACTCATGTGCTGCCGGTGACACCCTGCGCTCTGCCATCAGTACTTCATGTCTCTCTTGTCTCTCTTGTCTCTCTTGTCTCTCATGTCTCTCATGTCTCTCTTGTCTCTCTTGTCTCTCTTGTCTCTCATGTCTCTCATGTCTCTCTTGTCTCTCATGTCTCTCTTGTCTCTCATGTCTCTCTTGTCTCTCTTGTCTCTCATGTCTCTCTTGTCTCTCATGTCTCTCTTGTCTCTCATGTCTCTCATGTCTCTCATGTCTCTCTTGTCTCTCATGTCTCTCTTGTCTCTCTTGTCTCTCTTGTCTCTCTTGTCTCTCATGTCTCTCTTGTCTCTCATGTCTCTCTTGTCTCTCATGTCTCTCTTGTCTCTCATGTCTCTCTTGTCTCTCATGTCTCTCTTGTCTCTCATGTCTCTCTTGTCTCTCATGTCTCTCTTGTCTCTCATGTCTCTCTTGTCTCTCATGTCTCTCTTGTCTCTCATATCTCTCTTGTCTCTCATGTCTCTCTTGTCTCTCTTGTCTCTCTTGTCTCTCATGTCTCTCTTGTCTCTCTTGTCTCTCATGTCTCTCTTGTCTCTCATGTCTCTCATGTCTCTCATGTCTCTCTTGTCTCTCATGTCTCTCATGTCTCTCATGTCTCTCTTGTCTCTCATGTCTCTCATGTCTCTCATGTCTCTCTTGTCTCTCATGTCTCTCATGTCTCTCATGTCTCTCTTGTCTCTCATGTCTCTCATGTCTCTCATGTCTCTCTTGTCTCTCATGTCTCTCATGTCTCTCTTGTCTCTCATGTCTCTCTTGTCTCTCATGTCTCTCTTGTCTCTCATGTCTCTCTTGTCTCTCATGTCTCTCTTGTCTCTCATGTCTCTCTTGTCTCTCATGTCTCTCTTGTCTCTCATGTCTCTCATGTCTCTCATGTCTCTCATGTCTCTCATGTCTCTCTTGTCTCTCATGTCTCTCTTGTCTCTCTTGTCTCTCATGTCTCTCTTGTCTCTCATGTCTCTCTTGTCTCTCATGTCTCTCTTGTCTCTCATGTCTCTCTTGTCTCTCATGTCTCTCTTGTCTCTCATGTCTCTCTTGTCTCTCATGTCTCTCTTGTCTCTCTTGTCTCTCATGTCTCTCTTGTCTCTCATGTCTCTCTTGTCTCTCATGTCTCTCTTGTCTCTCATGTCTCTCTTGTCTCTCATGTCTCTCTTGTCTCTCATGTCTCTCTTGTCTCTCATATCTCTCTTGTCTCTCATGTCTCTCTTGTCTCTCATGTCTCTCTTGTCTCTCATGTCTCTCATGTCTCTCTTGTCTCTCATGTCTCTCTTGTCTCTCATGTCTCTCTTGTCTCTCATGTCTCTCTTGTCTCTCATGTCTCTCTTGTCTCTCATGTCTATCTTGTCTCTCATGTCTCTCTTGTCTCTCATGTCTCTCATGTCTCTCATGTCTCTCTTGTCTCTCATGTCTCTCTTGTCTCTCATGTCTCTCTTGTCTCTCTTGTCTCTCTTGTCTCTCATGTCTCTCATGTCTCTCATGTCTCTCTTGTCTCTCATGTCTCTCATGTCTCTCATGTCTCTCATGTCTCTCTTGTCTCTCATGTCTCTCTTGTCTCTCATGTCTCTCTTGTCTCTCTTGTCTCTCATGTCTCTCTTGTCTCTCATGTCTCTCTTGTCTCTCATGTCTCTCTTGTCTCTCTTGTCTCTCATGTCTCTCTTGTCTCTCTTGTCTCTCATGTCTCTCTTGTCTCTCATGTCTCTCTTGTCTCTCTTGTCTCTCATGTCTCTCTTGTCTCTCATGTCTCTCTTGTCTCTCATGTCTCTCTTGTCTCTCATGTCTCTCATGTCTCTCATGTCTCTCTTGTCTCTCATGTCTCTCATGTCTCTCATGTCTCTCTTGTCTCTCATGTCTCTCATGTCTCTCTTGTCTCTCATGTCTCTCATGTCTCTCATGTCTCTCTTGTCTCTCATGTCTCTCTTGTCTCTCATGTCTCTCATGTCTCTCATGTCTCTCTTGTCTCTCATGTCTCTCTTGTCTCTCATGTCTCTCATGTCTCTCTTGTCTCTCATGTCTCTCTTGTCTCTCATGTCTCTCTTGTCTCTCATGTCTCTCTTGTCTCTCATGTCTCTCTTGTCTCTCATGTCTATCTTGTCTCTCATGTCTCTCTTGTCTCTCATGTCTCTCATGTCTCTCATGTCTCTCTTGTCTCTCATGTCTCTCTTGTCTCTCATGTCTCTCTTGTCTCTCTTGTCTCTCTTGTCTCTCATGTCTCTCATGTCTCTCATGTCTCTCTTGTCTCTCATGTCTCTCATGTCTCTCATGTCTCTCATGTCTCTCTTGTCTCTCATGTCTCTCTTGTCTCTCATGTCTCTCTTGTCTCTCTTGTCTCTCATGTCTCTCTTGTCTCTCATGTCTCTCTTGTCTCTCATGTCTCTCTTGTCTCTCTTGTCTCTCATGTCTCTCTTGTCTCGCATGTCTCTCTTGTCTCTCATGTCTCTCTTGTCTCTCATGTCTCTCTTGTCTCTCTTGTCTCTCATGTCTCTCTTGTCTCTCATGTCTCTCTTGTCTCTCATGTCTCTCTTGTCTCTCATGTCTCTCATGTCTCTCATGTCTCTCTTGTCTCTCATGTCTCTCATGTCTCTCATGTCTCTCTTGTCTCTCATGTCTCTCATGTCTCTCTTGTCTCTCATGTCTCTCATGTCTCTCATGTCTCTCTTGTCTCTCTTGTCTCTCATGTCTCTCTTGTCTCTCATGTCTCTCTTGTCTCTCATGTCTCTCTTGTCTCTCTTGTCTCTCATGTCTCTCTTGTCTCTCATGTCTCTCATGTCTCTCATGTCTCTCTTGTCTCTCTTGTCTCTCATGTCTCTCTTGTCTCTCATGTCTCTCTTGTCTCTCATGTCTCTCATGTCTCTCATGTCTCTCTTGTCTCTCTTGTCTCTCTTGTCTCTCTTGTCTCTCATGTCTCTCTTGTCTCTCATGTCTCTCTTGTCTCTCATGTCTCTCTTGTCTCTCATGTCTCTCTTGTCTCTCATGTCTCTCTTGTCTCTCTTGTCTCTCATGTCTCTCTTGTCTCTCATGTCTCTCTTGTCTCTCATGTCTCTCTTGTCTCTCATGTCTCTCATGTCTCTCATGTCTCTCTTGTCTCTCATGTCTCTCATGTCTCTCATGTCTCTCTTGTCTCTCATGTCTCTCATGTCTCTCTTGTCTCTCATGTCTCTCATGTCTCTCATGTCTCTCTTGTCTCTCATGTCTCTCTTGTCTCTCATGTCTCTCATGTCTCTCATGTCTCTCTTGTCTCTCATGTCTCTCTTGTCTCTCATGTCTCTCATGTCTCTCTTGTCTCTCATGTCTCTCTTGTCTCTCATGTCTCTCTTGTCTCTCATGTCTCTCTTGTCTCTCATGTCTCTCTTGTCTCTCATGTCTATCTTGTCTCTCATGTCTCTCTTGTCTCTCATGTCTCTCATGTCTCTCATGTCTCTCTTGTCTCTCATGTCTCTCTTGTCTCTCATGTCTCTCTTGTCTCTCTTGTCTCTCTTGTCTCTCATGTCTCTCATGTCTCTCATGTCTCTCTTGTCTCTCATGTCTCTCATGTCTCTCATGTCTCTCATGTCTCTCTTGTCTCTCATGTCTCTCTTGTCTCTCATGTCTCTCTTGTCTCTCTTGTCTCTCATGTCTCTCTTGTCTCTCATGTCTCTCTTGTCTCTCATGTCTCTCTTGTCTCTCTTGTCTCTCATGTCTCTCTTGTCTCTCATGTCTCTTGTCTCTCATGTCTCTCATGTCTCTCATGTCTCTCATGTCTCTCATGTCTCTCATGTCTCTCATGTCTCTCTTGTCTCTCATGTCTCTCTTGTCTCTCATGTCTCTCTTGTCTCTCATGTCTCTCTTGTCTCTCTTGTCTCTCATGTCTCTCTTGTCTCTCATGTCTCTCTTGTCTCTCATGTCTCTCATGTCTCTCATGTCTCTCATGTCTCTCATGTCTCTCATGTCTCTCATGTCTCTCTTGTCTCTCATGTCTCTCTTGTCTCTCTTGTCTCTCATGTCTCTCTTGTCTCTCATGTCTCTCTTGTCTCTCATGTCTCTCTTGTCTCTCTTGTCTCTCATGTCTCTCTTGTCTCGCATGTCTCTCTTGTCTCTCATGTCTCTCTTGTCTCTCATGTCTCTCTTGTCTCTCTTGTCTCTCATGTCTCTCTTGTCTCTCATGTCTCTCTTGTCTCTCATGTCTCTCTTGTCTCTCATGTCTCTCATGTCTCTCATGTCTCTCTTGTCTCTCATGTCTCTCATGTCTCTCATGTCTCTCTTGTCTCTCATGTCTCTCATGTCTCTCTTGTCTCTCATGTCTCTCATGTCTCTCATGTCTCTCTTGTCTCTCTTGTCTCTCATGTCTCTCTTGTCTCTCATGTCTCTCTTGTCTCTCATGTCTCTCTTGTCTCTCTTGTCTCTCATGTCTCTCTTGTCTCTCATGTCTCTCATGTCTCTCATGTCTCTCTTGTCTCTCTTGTCTCTCATGTCTCTCTTGTCTCTCATGTCTCTCTTGTCTCTCATGTCTCTCTTGTCTCTCATGTCTCTCTTGTCTCTCATGTCTCTCTTGTCTCTCTTGTCTCTCATGTCTCTCTTGTCTCTCTTGTCTCTCATGTCTCTCTTGTCTCTCATGTCTCTCTTGTCTCTCATGTCTCTCTTGTCTCTCATGTCTCTCTTGTCTCTCATGTCTCTCTTGTCTCTCATGTCTCTCTTGTCTCTCATGTCTCTCTTGTCTCTCATGTCTCTCATGTCTCTCATGTCTCTCTTGTCTCTCATGTCTCTCATGTCTCTCATGTCTCTCTTGTCTCTCATGTCTCTCATGTCTCTCATGTCTCTCTTGTCTCTCATGTCTCTCATGTCTCTCATGTCTCTCTTGTCTCTCATGTCTCTCATGTCTCTCATGTCTCTCATGTCTCTCATGTC